ACTACCCATTTCTTCCATCTTCATTATTGTCTTGCCATGTGTCCTTCCACTCATCCACTTTGTCCTCTCACTCATCCACTTTGTCCTTCATATTCTCCATTATCTCTATAACTTCTTTTAACTTCCAAATGAATAAAAGGATGCCACGTGTCCTGCAATTATATAAATAATAAATAATAATAAAAATTACAGATTTATGGTGCTAACATTACCCCCCGCGGCCCTTAAAAATGATGTTTACTTGAATTTTTGAAGGGCCGAACCCAGCTAATGACTAATCTAAGCAATAAAATGCTTCGAATAATATCAACAAAGTGCTTCGAATGATATAATAGCACCAATGAAGTGTTTCGAATGAGTATGAAATTATGACTAGACGTCTTGAATGCTAGCTATTACGGACTAGTAACAAGCTTCGAAAGTGGTACAAAGGACCAAAATCATCTTTTGAAGGTTGAAAGTACCGACAAAGGACAAATTACATCCTTAGAAATACTCGGCAAAGTTTCCAAGGTTCACAACCACCATTATTGTTTCTTCGAAGCTGTTAATGCAAGATGGAGTGCTTCGGAGCTTACAAAATTATGGCAAAAGAGCTTTCGAAGCAACTTTTGGCCAACATTGTAGTTATTCACATTTTGTATGTTATGGTTCATACATAATTAATGAAAGTATTAATTTTGTGCTTCGAACCAGTTATTAATTCTTTGAAGACACCAAAACTGTTGTTCTTCGAACCAACTTATCATGCCAAAAACAGGCATTATTCGACAACTAATTAATTGTCATTTTACATATATTTGAAGAGATGTATACATTTTGAAAGTTTTCAAAGCTTTATACAGTTTCGAAGGTGAAGTAATCAACCTTCGAAACAACTCTTGATGTTTCGAATGTATCTTTAAAACTTTATACAACTTTGAAGGTGAAGTAATCAACTTTATTAGCCACATCATCAAAATTATATTTTGTTGTGAACCACAAATCCAAAAAGGATTTTGAGCACCAAAAGTCATGGTATGGTGTGACCATGAAAATTCATACTTTTTGACATTCTGAAAAATGTAAAAAATTTTGAATTCATGAACAGTGGCTTGTTCATTATTCTTGACCATGTTTGTTTTAAAAACATGACTTTTGCCGAATAGGTTTTCATAATTATTTGGCAAAGTAGGTTGTTTTTCCATGTTAGCCATTAATGGCTTATGAAAATCACCCATAGATATGTTATTTTCATGACTTGACTCTCTAAAATTTGGTTTTTGGACTCCCCGAGTCATACATGGAACATCATTCTTAGCCAAATTTGGCTCAAGAACATGCTCTTTCGTTGTGTTAATTTCATAATTTGGCTCTTTTAAAACGGACTCTTGAACTCCCCGAGCCATTGATGAAATCAACTCTTTGCTTTTGCTATTTTTAACCATGAAAATTTTTTGAAAAAATTCACCAATTTCGGCCATTAAAGCCTCAGTTAAAGACTTGGTAGTGAGAGTTGATAACTCATCATTCCATTGGCGAATTTCCATATCAAGTTGATGAATTTCTCCAATTAAATGGTGTCTTTTTTCTTCCACCAAATAATATTGTAAGGGATGAAAGTTTATTTCATCAAGAAAATGGATCTCTTCTTGAAGATCCAAAATTCTTCTTTCACGCCAATATATTTCATATTGACAAGTTCGAATGGCGAAATCCAAATCGTTTGTCATTTCTTATACTTGACAGTCCCACTGGGCGTGCCAAAAATATATGTTGGCTTTTTGACTTTTGAAGGTTATTATTGTAATTGCGAGTGTGCCAGCAAGGATTGAAAAATATTTACAAATTAAATTCAAGCCAATTATCAAGCGATTGCTTTGATGGTTCTGTTGCCTCAACAAAGAGGATTTCGAAATTGCCAAGTGTAGAGAAAAGAAAAATTAAAAGAAGAATGAGGGAGACGGAGAAAGACGATTGAGTGAACAATCAAAGTAATAATTACTTACCTTTACTCGTATGCTTCGAAAAGGAAGTGCATAAAATGTTTCGAAATGGAAATGCTGAAAATAAATGCTTCGAAATATAAATCTATGTTAAACTACTCCTAAGATAAGGAAAATGACAATAAATATTGAAATCAATTATCTTTTATTATGAATTCTGGATCCCTTTACAATGTAACAATTAATGGCTATTTATAGAAAAAAAAATACAGCAATAATTACTTAGTAACTACCCATTTTTTCCATCTTCATACTTGTCTTGCCATGTGTCCTTCCACTTATTCACTTTGTCCTCCCACTCATCCACTTTGTCCTCCCACTCATCCACTTTGTCCTTCATATTCTCCATTATCTTTATAATTTCTTTTAATTTCCAAATGAATAAGATGATGCCACGTGTCCTACAATTATATAAATAATAAATAATAATAAAAATTACAAATTTATGGTGCTAACACCATTAAATTCATAGATTAATTTTAAACATTTTTAGCATGCTTAGTTTTTTTTTTCTTTTTTAAACCAAAAATGCTTAGTTTGTTTCTTCTTTTTTTGTTCTTCCCAGTGTGAAGATGATTGGTGAATACTTATTATATATATATATATATATATATATTTATTTTTTATTTTCCTCTCTCCCACAGGTGCCCTCTCTCTCTCAGGTGGGTGGGAGTCGTGGACTTCTGAAAACCAAATTTTGAGTTTCAAAATCAAACAAATCAATGACCCAATAACAGACCCCACCTGTTTTTGTTTTTCGGTTTTGTTTTTGCTTTTGGTACTCTGCACTTTTGGATACACAGCAAACTGGAGAATCCAAAAGCACTTTCTATCTGGGTGGCTCAAGCTTCCATTTCTGTTTTTTATCCAATCAATTTGAAATAATTTACAAACATCATATTACATACTGAACGTTTAATTAAAAATCAAAAATTAAAAATTAACAATACATAGACTTGCACCAAACAAAAAAACTCCACAATTAGACCACATGCTTCATAAGATTGAAAATTAAGATATCAGAAATTGTGATAAGAAAACCTAAATTTATCCTCAGAGAGCTTCTTAATTTTTGTCGGCCAAGGAGCATATTCAATTATTGCATGTAGGCCATGGCCCGGCCGACACAGTTCAATAAACCCTAATTTTTGTCTCAATTCCATCTTTATGCCTATTGAGGATGCCCCTCTTCCTCAATGCAAGAATAAGATTTCCAAAAATTGTACAGATCTTTGAAAGTCATATGTTTCTATACAGTGAAATCTTCAATGTAACAGCACGCAATCTGTCATATTGCAGGTCGGTTTGGTTTGGTATAGTTTCTTCCGAACAAAAGTTAATAATTAAAAAATAGACGCTAATGTTGTATTTGGTTGGGGGATTTAGAAATGCATTTAAAAGTGGTTGGGGGATTTGGAAAGGCACATTTGAAAGAAAAAGGAAAAAGGTATGTGAAATTATGTAAAATTATTCACATTTCACCGATCTTGTCAATTTATTTTTCCAAATCCCTCCCCAAATTTCCCAATCAAATACAGTATAATAAAAAAATTTCAACTTATTTGGCCCCGTAAGCTGCACGAACTAGCTAGCTAGCTATTCAAATTTTATAACTTCTAAAACTTAAAAGTTATGCTAAAACCTCACAAAATCATATACTAGGAAAATTAACAGGTTTTGATCAAGAGCAGTCCACACCAAACTCAAATAATAGCAATGTTATCTATATCAAGTTTAAATTTATATTATAATTTTTTTCTGATTACGTAGCATTTATACTCGATTAACAAAAGAACCATCTTCACAGAGCTGGAATTCAAGTAGATGGAACTTCAAAGACCAACTTTAATTGTAGCATTAACATATGTCACATTTGTTTGTAGTTACTATTAGTTTATGCATCCAACAATTCTAGACCATTGGCATTTCAATAAGCCCAAATGCAAAAAGATCAAATATAGAATGAGATATATATATATATGTCTCATAAGGAGTGATATTTACATGATGTGAAACTCACACGTGAGACTCACCTCTTATGAGATACATATGTTTAATTTATATATTTCTAATACTATTGCTGACATTTTTATCATTTGAAAAATCTACAAAAACTGTACACACAAGATATCACATGGGTGCATACCATTTGATAATTTATGCAGAGGGAGGACCCATATTATAAATTATTGTAGTTCACAGGTTCTCAAACTGTTGGATCACACAAAAATATTTCACTATGTATTGCTGTACATTAGTACATGATGACTTGAGATACTGTCATGCCGCTACAGGGTGGATCATCTTCTTGGGCTTTTGTGGCCTCATGGAGCCCACCTTGATAACCTACCCCGTTCATTTCTTTTAGGTCTCCATGTATAGATTATTTAAATAAAAAAAATTAAATTAATTCAATAATTATAGTTAAATAATTTCATCATACTTGTCTGTAAAAATAAAAATAAAATTAACAGTCTATTTTTAAAATTATATTTATTGTCTACTTTTTTTATTTAAATAAATGTGATAAAATTGTGTATCTATGAATCTATGATTATTACACTGAGTTTTTCGCGAATAATTAATCCAAGAATTTAAAAGAATTCACAAAATAAATCATCATGTGAGTCTTTTAGGGTAGAAAATAAGAAATTATATTAGTTGCAAGGAATAATGTTTCAAGATTGCAAAAGAATGAATAAAAAATTTAGTATCCAAAATCTTATTATCACCGCATATTACTGATGAAAAAAACTTTAAATAGTACGTGGGATTAAAATTAATCTAATTCTCTATTGATCGCTTTGGCTTCTCAACTTCTTTACTTTCTCAAGTGAGAAATCCAACTAACAAATTTTCTTATAAAGGAAAGTGAAAAACAAAAAAATAATTGACCAAAAATTGTTACTTATTTTGTCTTGATTGATGGCTCCCAAATCCCAATTAACCTTATTAGTACCTTAGTTCTATGGTGGGACCTCCCTCATCTCCTTATACAAACTCCATTGCTACACTACTCCATGCTTAATTTCATTTCCCTCACTTAATTTTTGTTAGTTGCATTTTAATCACCCTCTCTCTCTCTCTCTCTCTTCATGGCTCTCTTTCTCTCTCTTCTTCTCATTTTCATGTTCCCTTCTTGCAATGCTGATAACCCACCCTCACCTGGATACTACCCTAGTTCCACAATTGGTTCAATAGGGTTTAACCAAGGTTTTAGAAACCTATGGGGTCCTGAGCATCAAAATGTAGACCAAGGATCTTTAAAAATTTGGCTTGATACTAGCTCAGGTCTTACTAAACTTCTTCATCTTCTTCTAAAAGGCAAGCATTTATTTTATTTTTATTGACTTGATTCATTTTTTTTTCCCTTGTTTAAATTTCCAAAAAATAGGCAGTGGTTTCAAGTCGCTGAATTCATATCAATCCGGATATTTTGGTACTGCTGTCAAGCTTCAATCTGGCTATACTGCAGGAGTGATTACGTCATTTTATGTGAGAATTGGTTTTTTACTCTCTCTCTCTCTCTCTCTCTCTCTCTCTCCATGGTTATACTATATTAACTATTTAAGTAAATTATGCCACAAGTCCTTGAATTTTTCTTATTTTTCGATTAAGCCCTAAATTAATTTTTACTTCAATTAAGCTCTGTAACTTTCCAACATGGTTTAAAGTAGCCTTCTGTTACATTCTCTCCATTTTTCGGCATTAAAGACAACATATGAACCTAACTGAATAGTAAATTGAGAAAAATTATTTTCATAACATCAATATATATATCGTAAAACTAACCTCCTTTCTTTCTCTAACACAGGCTTAAGAAGTTGTTAACGGAATTTTTTTATATGTAAAAAAATTAGGATTAATTTTATCAAGTTATCCGTTACATCAGACTTATATCATTTATTGAATTGTCAAAAGTTGACATAATGTAATAGGACTATATTGAAGCAATTTAAAAAGTTTGCTTGAACAAAAAATCTAATTGAGAGACTTATTTAAAGTTTCCTGCTATAATTTTCTCTTTACTATTTAGTGTTTGGAAGGTAAGAAAGTTGACTAAGCTTCCTACTTGATGAAATAATGTGACAGCTTTCAAACAATGAGGAGTATCCAGGATACCACGATGAGATTGACATAGAGTTTCTTGGAACGACGCCGGATAAGCCTTATGTGTTGCAAACAAACGTGTTTATTAGAGGAAGTGGGGACGGAAATATTATAGGACGAGAGATGAGGTTTCACCTTTGGTTCGATCCCACACAAGATTTCCACAACTATGCCATACTGTGGAACCCTAGTGAGATCATGTAATTTATAGCACTTCCACAAATCACCATATCTAATCTATTATGTCAATCATATAACTCAAAATTATTTTGAAGCTTCGTCATTTTTTTTTTCCCCAAAGTTTTCATGTTAATTTAACTCTTTTTTCTCATTATAAAACTCGTTATGTTTGCATCCACTGCTAATTAATTTTTTAAACACAAATGCACATTGCACACTAACTGACAAATGAATAAAAGACAAAAAAAAAGAAAAGAAGTCCCTATCCATGGTAGGCATTTCGTGCGTATATATTTATAGATATGATATTGATTTCATAAATAACAAAGTCATGGTAGGCAACATATCAAAGTGTTAGGGTTAGGTCTTGATCATGCTAACTTTTGTTGACTTATAGGGTATTAATGGTATTTCATGTAACTGCATGTGTTCTTATTATGTCATGAAAGATTGGATTATGATGTATTTAAAAAGATTGAACGTTCACATAATATTTAAAGATAAGGTAAAGCTATGGATTATTATTAAGGGAAGAAAATGCTAAACAATTAAATTTCCGAAATATTTTTTTACACATCTTAAACTATTTTATATACTTTTTACATATTATGATGCGTTTTTACATTCTTGGCGAGATTAATGGCAACCTTTCGAATGGTCATTAAAATTTTCTTAGAGCATTCTATCTTTATTCCGAGCATTCTATCTTTATTCCGAAAGTACTACAATTATGATGTGGTAAATGCCATTTTATAAATAACAGTCAATTAGATGTTTTGTTCTAAAGTTAAAAATTCAAATTAAGCAACATTATTCCAAAATAATAAATAAAAAGAAAAAATTGAATTTCCAAATTCCTAAAATTAAAAATGTTAAAAAATTAAATGTAGTCTAAATGATTCTCAATTTAACGAGAACTCTATTCAAAATAATTAGAGTCACACATTAATTTATCTATATTTTTTTTTCCTTATTTTTTGTCACACATAGAATTACTCTATGTAATTGTACATCGTGACCCATCAAAAAAAAAATATATACATCATGTTGTACCATGCAAATCCTGCATGCTTTCATTTTCCTCTAACCTATAATTGTAATTAATTTGTTTTTTTTTTATCATGTGATTTACAGATTCTTTGTCGATGATGTCCCAATTAGAAGGTACCCAAGAAAAAGTGATGCTACATTTCCATTAAGACCTATGTGGGTCTATGGATCCATATGGGACGCCTCGTCATGGGCCACCGAGGGGGGCATGTACAAGGCAGATTATCGATACCAACCCTTCATTGGTAGGTATAGCAATTTCAAACTCGGTGGGTGCACAAGTGATGGACCTAGCTCGTGCAATCCTCCTTCAGGCTCACCATCTGGCTCGAGCGGTTTGAGTCAACAACAGTATACGGCCATGGAATGGGTCCAGAGGAACTACAAGGTGTATGACTATTGTCAGGATCCAAAGAGAGACCATAACCAAATACCAGAGTGTTAGGGTTTTGGTCACAGCACACACATTGTACTTTGATTATAAGACTTATTTTTGAAAAAATATTAACTACTCAGTATTTTTATCTCAAAAATTATCTCAAAAGTTATGTCTATGTTGTAAATTCAAAATTGGCATGCATAATTTTATCCTTGAGGGCACCTATTCTCATTTTTTTTTTTTGATTGACAAATGTTAATTGTTAGTTGTTAGATTAGTATTTATGAGAGAAAATCTTCTCACCACCGGCAAAACACCTAAGTACTTGCACTCTCTTAATTCTATTTCTCTAAGAGAAATTAAACCCATAACCTTCTTAAAACTAAGCCCCAAGGTAGGCATGATAGCCAACTAAACTAGGCCTAATTAGTTCACCTATTCACATGTGAATTAAATAATAATAATAATTCAATGCTTGTGAATGATCAGTAGATCATAGGCTTGTCTCATTACTCCTTGTCTCATTCAACTATGCAGTGTTGTGGCATAATTAACAAAAGCTTGAGATAGGCTATCGACTTTGTATTTTGGGTAATAGATAGATCATAATTGTATACCGATCATTGAAAATATCATCTCCGAAGAATATATACCGGTAACACTAACTAATTAATGACTTTGTCAAGGAAAAGACCTTTATAATCAATTTGAACTACAAGGAGGTACTGCTGGGTTATGTTTGCTTCTGTTTTGTTTTCCTGGCCTTGCTGGTTATTTGTTGTGTTCTCGTTTTGTGATTGGTTGCTCACCAACTTTTAATGGCGTGCTTGCAAGTGATTAGACGGACATATCTGTGTCAATATAGTTGGGATGGACATATTTCATTATGATATTTTTTACACTCATCTTTTATCTTTGTTGATGTAATGCTTTTTCCATTCATCAATAAAGGTTCTCTCTTTTACTGATTAAACAAAAAAAAAAAAATTCAATTAGAATTAGTTTAATTGACCATAATTCTTACACTTCACTAAGAAATCAAGAGTATAGTTTTAAATATCTATATCAATTAATATGTATAGCACTTTTTCAATACGAATGCATTCTACTATACTTAATGAAATAAAAATTATATAATATCAATCAATAATTGATTCATAAGTCAACTTACAACTTATACAAGTGATCCAAAATGGATAAGTGAATTTTAAATTTTTGTTGCAATCCCGTGACAAAGCCATCTGAGGAAAGAAAATTTTCTTCACCCAAATAAAATTGATCATTGGATGCCATAATCAATCAAAAAAGCAAAGTTTTAATTTAAGTATGAATAAGTCCAAAAAATATGAACAGATAAAGCTGCATGTGACATCCACCTATCAACCCTTTTCTTTTGTTTCAACTTTTCAAATAGCTCATTGGAGTTTTCCATACCATTTATGAGCAAATTATACAATTTAAATGCTAAAAAGTCTCTTTATACATGCAAATATTAAGGTCAAATTTGGGAAGACTAAATAAGTGTACTTTTTGTCTTTTTAGACTAAAAAGTTGAGGTTGAAAATATGAATGTTTGGGTTAACTTTTTGACTTGTTTTAATTTAAGTATGAATAAGTCCAAAAAATATGAACAGATAAAGCTGCATGTGACATCCACCTATCAACCCTTTTCTTTTGTTTCAACTTTTCAAATAGCTCATTGGAGTTTTCCATTCCATTTATGAGCAAATTATACAATTTAAATGCTAAAAAGTCTCTTTATACATGCAAATATTAAATTTGCAGATTAAATATAGATACAATTAAATAAATTTGTTTAATGGGCCTTACATAGAACATGTGATTGGTACCATATACGATATCACACCAAATTATGTTCAAATGTAGTATCTAAATGTGTTCACTTCAACATTATTGTTTGATAAAAATTTAATAATACATTAACCCAAAATTAATAGAAAAGGAAATTTTTATCTTCTCTCTCTTCTTTTTCCAGGATGCAATTGATATTTCGGTACAGCACTAGTAGTCCAATATACTAGGACACAATGGGCCAGGCCCATTCATTTACATTGCTTTACAAAATGCCTGCCTACATAAAAGGCCCAACCCAGTCAGACCTCACTGATTTTTTTCATAAATAATTTGTGTACAATAGTCTAAAAAAACATACAAAATAATAAATTATCAAAAACAAAATTGGCAATAGACCCAATGTCTCCAAATTAGTGGACTGAATAAAATTGTAAACAAAATAAAAATAAAAAGCGTTTTGTCTGTTTGTTTGTTTGCTTTGGTAGCAAGGTTTTGTTTTGAGGTAATGCTAAAAGGGTATCATTTAGAGCGGTGTAAAATAAGGCTCAATTCTCTAAGATTGCATTGATTTGTACTGATTTATTTATTAATTATGGATTAAATTTTAAAATTTATAAATTGTCTTTGAAATCACTCATCTCCTCTATAGTTAATACATATAATTTTTTTAATCTCTAATGAAATATCAAAGTAAAAATAAATGTGAGAGATATTTAAAATGTGAAATTTATTATAAATAAGTAGTTATATATATAAAAAAAATTAGTTTGTATTATATATGTGAAAAATATTAGGTAAATTAGCCTCCGTTTGAAAAGTGGGTTGATTTTTTGACTTTTTGACTTTTTTGGCTATTTTAGCCTGGGGCTAAAAAGCCTGATTTGGGGCTAAAAAGCCTGGTTTGAGAAAGACTTTTTGACTTTTTTGACTTTTTGACTTTTTGCTGATGTGTCTTACTGTTAAATTACCAAACTGCCCTTCATGTTCAACTTTTACATGTGAGGCAATGAAAGTGGTCCTCCACGTCAGCCGCCGTGGAGGACCGAATTTGGATAATTTTTGTTTCTTTTTTTTTTATTTTGGGTTTGGATTTGGCCGATTTTGATTTTTTTTTTTTTAAGAAATTTATGTTTTTATCATTTTTATTTTTTTATACATTAATTAGTTCTTGTTATTTAATTTACGTTTTTTCCCTCATTTATTTTTATTGGTATACAATAACTTCTTTTATTTTTCAAAAATGAGTTTTCATGTGTTTTATTTATTTGTAAATTATGTGGCGAATGGTAATTTAAGTTTTTATGTTTTTTTTTTTTTGAAATGTTTTTGAATGAGGCGTATTTTTGGATGAGTTTTTTTTTTTAATTTACGTTTTTGTCATTTTTTTATTGTACACATTAATTAATTTATTTATTTATACATTAATTTATTACGTGGCAAATGCTAATTTCTGTTTTTTGGGTTTTTTTTCTTTTTTTTTGGATGAGACGTATTTTTGTCGTTCTTTTTTTTTTTAATTTACGTTTTTGTAATTTTTTTTTATTTGTATACATTAATTTGTTTGACATTTTTTTTTTGGTTTTTTTTGTGTGATGAGACTTATTTTTGTTTTTTTTTGTGTGATGTGACTTATTTTTGTGGTTCTTTTTTTTTTATTTACGCTTTACAATTTTTTTTATTTGTATAAATTAATTTATTTTTTGTTTTCAAAAATGATTTTTCATGTGTTTTCATTATTTTTAAATTATGTGGCAACTGCTATTTTATGTTTTTAATTTTTATTCTTTATTTTTTACTTTGTTTGGTTTTTTGAAAAAACATTTTTTCATGTCATTTATTTAAAATGATTTCAAAAATCATATATTGCCGTGGCACATGATAAAAAATGATGTCTATTTTTTCATGTGTTTTTCTATTTTGATTTTTAAAATTAATTTTTTTTTTCATTTTCTGTGAAAGACGTGATAAAAAGTGAGGTTTTATTTTATTGTCCTGTGTACTTTAATTTAATTTTAATTTTAATTTTAATTTTAATTTAATTTTAAATTTACTTTTAATTTTATTTTAAATATTTAAATAATGTAAATAATCTAAAAAATTTAATAAGTAAAAAATTAACTACACTCAAATCATAACCAAACACATAAAATAAAACTCAATTAATAAATTATTTTTAAAACTCATAACCAAACACATAACTTGAAACTCTATACTACTTTCAGAACTCTACACTGAAATTATAACCAAATACATAACAAAAAAATTAAAATATTTAAAACTATTTTTATAAAATAGAGTTTGAATTTATTTTTATAAAATAGAGTTTGAATTTATTTTTACAAAATATTTTAACAAAAAAAAATAGTAATTTTTTTCTTTTCAACTTTTTTTGTTTTTTCTGGGAGAAGGTGTTTTTTGGGAAAATGTTTTTTTTTTTTTTTTTAACTTTTTTGTGGGTGCTGACGCATGCCCCTCTTTCATATATTAAAAAAATTAAAAAAATGTTTGATAATTGTTTAAGAATATTTTTCAATTAACTAACAAATTGAAACCACTCTAATCCATCCAAACTGCGATTTGGATATTTGTTAATTCTCCATTCTTTGTTTGATTTATAATTTTACTCTTAAATCATTCAAATCGCACCGTACACACCCCTATACGTACCATACACAAATTATGATATTTATGAATTTGATTGTTACAAATGTTATAACTCAATCGTACATGAGTTGTAACTTTAAAAAATGAATTATAACCAAACACCACATAAGATATAATTAAAAAATTCTTAAATTATAATTAAAATAATATCATAACAAATATTAGAAAGACTCATAATTAATATTATAATAAATAATAATTCAAAATTACAAAAATTATAACTAAGAGTCATAGCATACACACCCTTTTGATTTGTTTTTGAGAAACAAATTTTGAAAAAAAAAATTCTAAAATTTTGTCTGATTTAGTGATTTTGGAAAAACAAATTTTAAAATTAATTTCTCTTTTTTACACATCAATCAATCACTTTTTCTCTCACACATATCTATTCAGGTACAACAAAATATCAAATCATTCAAACTCTTATACTCTAAAACTATTTCAAAATATACATCTAAACAAATTAAAAAAAATTCTAAACTCTGTGCTCAAATTTAAAAAAAAAAAAATTAGAGTGAATTACACTAATAATCTCTATAGTTTGGGGCTTGTGTCACTTTGGTTCCTGACGTTTCAATTGTGACACATTTGACCCTAAATTTTGAATTTTGTTCTAAATAAGGACAATTGAATATATCATTAGATTTTTTAAAGGTAAAATCGTTAATTTGATAAAATATAAACTAATTTGACAAAAATAAATGTCAAACAAATATTTTTAAATTTTTAAAAATTATTTATACACACTAAAAATAAAATCATGTAAAATTGATAAATCATTTAGACATTTATTTATTTTTTTTATCAAATTAATTTTTATTATGTGTTTGGATAATGATCATGTAAAATTAATTTTTAAAAACTAATCATGTAATTTTTATTAATTTTTAACAATTTTACATATTTTTATCATTGGTGAATAAAAATAATTTTTAAAAGAATTAAAAATATTTTTTGAAAATTTATTTTTATCAAATTAGTTTATATTTTATTAAATTAACGATTTTACTATTAAATTAAATAATGGTATCTTTAATTTTTTTTATTTGAAACAAGATTCAAAATTTAAAATTAAATATATTAAAATTAAAAAATCAAAAACTAAAATGACATGAATTTCAAACTATAAAAACTTTTGATGTAATTTGTCCAAAAATTTATCTATCAAAATTAAACCAAACACACTCAGAATTTCGTTTGTTTTGTGTGGGTTTGTTTGACTCTGGAAGTGGAACCCGTGACCCACCGATCATCACTCTCTCACCAATCTCCACAATATTACATTTAAAACTCTGACACTTCTGTCATCTGTCCCTCTGCTGTATCATTTACACTCTTGTCTCTCTTTTAATTCTTTCACCAACCATCTCATCCTTTTGAGATTCCCCCCAAAAAAAAAAAAAAATCAAAAAAAAAAAATCATAATTGTGATATTGTTATATAATCAATGGTACTACACACTTATTTCTCGTGTGAGTTTGGATCCTCTCCTTAAGACCCTTCTTTCATTTCTTACTTGTAACGGTTCAGATGGGCCGTTGCATATCCAACAGCTCAGATTAAAAAAAAAACAATTGAAATTTTCGTCGATCTCCCGCCCAAACAAAAACACAGTTTATACATTCACTCTCACTCTCACTTTCACTCAGCCTCACAGTCGCTCGTGGTCGTCTATCCAACCTCTACCCTCACCGGCGAACCGACGACCAATCCCGACGGCGACCCAGACGGCGAACCCACTCGTGACCCCACGACGACCATAGCTCCACCACTCCAGCCTCTACGCTTCGTGAACTCCACCACAATCGGTTGAGCAAAGATCTCTTTTTCACGAATCAAGTTGGTCTTCGAACATCTGAAATGAAGAAGTTAGGAGTCTGAAAAAATGTAAGGCTTTTAGAGTTGGAATTTCTAAAAAAATTTAGGACTTTTAGATTTGGAATTTCAAAATTAAGGCTTTGATTTGGGATTTTGAATCGTCTGAAAATTTTTAGGGCTTATAGATTTGGAATTTCAAAATTAGGACTTTGATTTGGGATTTTGAAACGTCTGAAAAAATTTAGGGCTTATAGATTTGGAATTTCAAAATTAGGGCTTTTTTAGCCGTAACTACAATGCTGTAATTTTCTACAATGCTGTAATTTTCAAAATTAGGGCTTTTTTAGCCCTAACTACAAGAAGTGTACCTATTCTTTTTTCCATCTCTGTCCATATGTAAGTACTTCTGTAATTTTAATAAATTTTTGGATAAATAAATAAATTTATCCTGTCCATATAAGTAGCTGTAGCTATAAGACAAATAAATTTTAATGGCATCCGTTAATAAATCTATTTTAACAAGTGTGTGTGTCCCATAAAAAACATTATAATGGCTATTATGGCTTCTTGAATGGCTTCTTGAATTCAACTGGAAGAAAACATTCTCATGCTATTATGAAACAATACCACCATTCTGTGTGTGCCCCATAATCAATTTCAGTAAGTCTAGTGATGCAGAAACCAAATATAGAATTCTTGTGTATAAATATATGGATGAACATGATTTTACAAGATTTGATGGTATAGCCCACTTCTAAAAATTCTTGAACATGATTTTACTATCTTATTCCCTGAATCTCCCAGAAATTATTGCTTCAAACTTTCTTAAATATGATGTGGGTGGTAATTATTATATTATGTTTTGAAGAGACTTCATTTTTTATTTTTCACTTTTGCACCATTTGTTTTTGTTTATCATTGTGGACTTTGGCCGGTGTTTTTTTTTTTTCTTCATTAGTATATGCCCACATTTTGATGGACCTAGCATGGTCTCTTCTTTTTTCATTTTCAGTACAGACTGATTTTGAGCCTGCCCGAGGTTGAGTGGGATAGGTTTCTTGAATGAGATTCTGATTGAATGGGTTTGCCAAATGGTTTGTGTTTTTAAATGAGCAGCTTCTGTTCTTTTTTTTTAATATAATATTTTTATTTGTTTTTTTCATTAGTGAGTGACATATTTTGAGTAAGTTAATAGTGCTGCCAGTTATATATGCATCTTTATACTGCTGCCTATTTTGCATGTGTTTCTCTACTTGCTATCTATCACTTATTCATCTATTAAATGCATACCTGTTTTGCATCTGTTTTCTGTACTCATTTATTTTTTTGGTTGGCAACCATAAATTTTGTTAATGAAAGAATAAATAAGGAGAAATACACATTGAAGGAGGACAGGAAATCCACCAAATAGAAAATAAAAAGAAACAAAAATTACATATCACACAACTTGCGAATCTCTATTAATCAAAGGACGTTTTGACTCAGGGAATAAGATAGTAGTAAGGGAATAAGGGTGCTAGGGTACAATGTAAAGGCTGTTACAGTGTGTCTCATCTCATGTGTAGTACCCTTACAAATATTCTTCCCTAATTTCATAACTCAAAGCTAACTACTCAGGAAAAAAAATCCAGAACCGTGTTTAGAATTTAAAGTATATATGATAAATCTGATTTACATTGTTTGTATTGTATTGTGTATGCAGATTTAGAAATGGCTTCTTCTTCTACTAACAATAGCAACATCAAATTAAAACCGAGACTGTGTAATTGTGGAAGAACAGCTGCCATATATATTGTAAGAACCAATGAGAATAGAAATAAAAGGCGTTTGTTCTTTATTTACCCATCAAAATATGTAAGTGTACCTGTTGGAAATATTAAATATGTAAGTAGTGACAATTTAATTTGTGTTATTCGACTGACTAATTGTCATGCATTGTAGACTGAAACTCCCAATTGCAATTACTTCAAGTTCGTGGATGAAGATGATGAAGATGTTACGTCCACAATCCGTTCCAACACTAGAGCTTCTAATGGTGTTACAGTAGAAGACTTTAACGAGCTGAGGAGGAGGCTGTATGACGTGGAAAATGAACATGATGACTATGGTCGAAGGCTTCGAATGGTGGAAAATATTTTGAAGGCGATGGTGTATTTGATTGTATTTTCTATACTTTTGTACTTTATGATATAATGTTATTATGGATTTATGGATTTAATGTTATTATGGATTTAATGTTTTTGGCTTTGATGAATATATGCAATGAATTTAGAAGCTATTCATGAATGGAATTTGACGAATGTAGTTATGGATTTAATGATTATAGATGCAATGATTTTAGATGGTTTTTATGAATGGAATTTGGGAACTTGGGATGTTTGAGATGTTTGAGATGAATGGTACAGGATTTGAGATGTTTGAGATGAATGTTGGAGATGTTTCAGAGCACTGTCCAGTTAGATTATATGATCAAAATAAGGATCATGTGTACAGTATACCAGCAGAATGATCAAAATAAGGATCAAAACTTTGTTGCTGGTGTACAGAATGATCATTCCTAAGGATCAAAACTGGTATGCTGGTATGCTGGTGTACAGAATGATCAAACTGGTATGCTGGTGTACAGAATGCTAGTGTACAAAACGGGTATGCAAAATGATCAAAATAAGGATCAAAATTGGTGTACAGCATACCAGCAGAATGAATTTACAAAAACCATATGAAACCATGATTTCAGAGCATTTTTGTACATTCTTTTCCTTTTGTTCTTTTTTTTTTTCACTCTTCACACTTCACACTTCTTCTGTATCTGTACATCCTTTTCCTTTTGTTCCTTTTTTTTCCTTCACACTACACACACTTCACACTGTCTAGTCTGGCCAAGATCATTGCTAGTGTCCATCTACAAAACCATGTGTCCAGCATACCAGAAACAATGAATACCTCTGCAGAACCATTGCAAAACCATACCTGTGCATACCAGCAGAATCATGCAGAACCAATACAGATCAAATGTACATCTAGTTTCAAATGTACATCTAGTTTCAATACAGATCAAATATACATCATCTACTTTAAAATGTGTTCAATACAGAGCTTTGAATGTACAGATCAAATGCAGAACCAGCATACCAGTTTGCTTTGAATACAGAACCAGCATACCAGAGCCAGTATACATTTGCTTTGAATAGTGTTCAATACAGAACCAACATACCTGTTTGCATAACATTTCTTGACCATTTCTTGACCATTTCTTGATACCCATAATAACACAAGAGAATACCAACTCATAACCATTGCAGAACCATAACCATTGCAGACATAATGAAGATCATTGCAGAACCATAGCAGCAATCATTAAATGAACATGAACCATAAACAACATAAATGAACATCAACCAACATCAACCAAGTTAAATGAACATGAACATCAACCAACATCAGAACCAGAACCAGCATACCAGAACCAGAACCAACATGGACACCAATACAAGTTAAATGAACATCAACCAACATCAACTAAATTAAATAAACATGAACCACAACCAGCTCACTTGGGTTTAACATATAAATTATAATCAATTGTAACTGAACATCAACCAATACAAGTTTAGCATCTAAATTAAAACATTGGTCCATCAAAATTGACACATTGGTCCATGTAATTTAACATATTGGTCCATATAATTTAACATTTGAACACACATTCCTCAATATCACTTTCCAGCAGCAGTGTGCTTCACAATTTCAGAGGCCATGACTTCACTTTCCAGCCCAATTTCAGCATCAATTTGCTTCTGTTTCTGCTTGTCCATAACCTAAAAAAAAAAGATAGAATTTTTAGCAAGTAAATACATGATATCACAGAATTTTCATCAACTAAAAACCTAGAATTTTCAGCAACTATAAATTAAAAATACATGAAGGGCGAACCTGACTACACATTGGAGTAGTTGATTCTTGAGAATATCGAAACCCAATGTCATAGCCACATGAACCTTGTAGTAGTGACTGGAATGTTGGTTGAGTAGAATGCCGTTGAGGCATTGAAGTTGGCAAATAATTTGGCACCACATACATCTCCCGCAAATTGTTCGCCTACAACAATGTCATATATTAGGCTTCGCAATTATGGTTTCAGTCATGGTTTGAGTCACATATTATATCCACACAAAAAATACAATGTTAAAGTAAGACTTACATGATATGTGGGATACATCAATGGCGGAGGAATATAATTCCACCCATTGGCAAAGATGGAGGAAGAGAATGAAGGGGAGGAAGAGGTTGAAGAGGAGGAACATGTTGACAAACGTATATATCTCCTCCAACCTGCAATAGATTGTGACGAAGCCAAGCTGTTAGCACGGGATTTTTTTTTGGAGTTCGCCACCAACGCCGCTTCGAATCCACCTTTGACCCTTCTTTTGCCCTTACTAGTTGCCACATTTTTCTTCAATCCTTTTAGTTACACAACATGATTCACATCTTCGCAATCCACTTCAAAGCAATGGGTGTCATTATCATTACCTACTTCATTTTCAACACCAAAATGAGCACTTAACTTGCCTTTAACATTTGCACCTAATGTAGCAAGGTGTGCAATACAAAAATCATAAGTTTCTTCAGTTTCAGCAGCTCTAGTTGCTAGTGCTCTAAATGTGGTCATCAATGTCTTATACGGCGAGACTTGTTGGTATTTCACATCTACTTCAATGCCATCCCCTTAATGTCCTTCACAGTTTCGACTCTTGCTTGTTTGGTCCACCTCTTTAGAATGTATTATGGAGGAACCTCTTTTATCTTCAATATGTCTCTAATAACCTTCAATGAGTAACAACACAAGATTCGTTCCCTTTCAAACTTTGTACAATTACAACCCAAAGAGCCATCCCTCTCCATCTTCACTTTCCTTGCATGTTTATTACCAACATCAACAACTGTGTAAATGGTACTAGCCTCGCCACATTCAATTGCTTCTATGTCCGATTCAATGGATTGAAAGTACTCATTTTGAAATTCCTCAAAGATCTTTTTTGTGTAGACATTACCCATTTGAATTAACATTCTTATTGTTGCTTTCATCTTTGGCAACCTTTGGCACAAAGTATGTCATGCTTTTAACTCCTTGTATCGTTTCTCGTAAAGTACCCTTTCGAAATGCATAAAGAGTTCATTTAAGTTAAAATCAGAACGAATGTAATCCTTCAAAAAAGCATTAAAAGATTCACTAAGTTGTGTGGTACTCATTCCCACAACCTATGTTGATCTAATGTAAGGCCAGCCCCATTTTTCTTTCACCGCAAAAGTCAATTTCAACCAATAGTTTTCATGCGCACCATATTTATCAAGCATTTTCGCCCATTCTAACTTCCATTGATTTGCATCTTCAATGTGAAAGAAGAATTTATTTAGTACACCCTTCACCCCCTTATCTTGGAACAAACAGTTAACATGATTTAATGCATTTTGCATCATATGCCAAGTACACAATCGGTGACTTTTGTCAGGCATAACGATGGGTATGGCTTTAGCCATTGCAGCATCTTGATCGGTGAAGAAAGTTTTTGGTGCCTTTCTTGACATAGCCTCTAGAAAATTTTCAAACAACCATACAAACTATTCGGCGGTCTCATCATACAACAATGCTGCACCAAATATAATTGTTTCCCTATGATGGTTGAATCCCACAAAAGATGCGAAGGGTCTATGTTCTTTATTTAACCTGTAAGTCGTATCAAATGTGACAACATCACCAAATTGGGCATAATCCATGATCATTTGTGCATCGGCCCAAAACATATTGGTTATTTACTCCTCATTATCTAATTGAAAAGCATAAAAGAATGAAGGATTATGCAAAGATTTTTCTTTAAATTATTGCAACACATTGCCTACTTCCTCATATGCTAAACTTTGTTGTCTTTTGGTTCTCAAATAATTTTTAGAATCTAATTTCGTAAACCCAAGACATTGCCTTCAACCAGCTTCCCTACCCATGAGTTCAAAAGACTGGCCTAAACGAAGACCAGATTGTGCTGCCAAATCTAACTGAATTTCTTGGATAGTCGATATCTTTTTTTGTGACGGCAACATGTGGGCACACTCGGGTGATACAAGATTATGGTTGTGTTTTTCTTTGAAATCAGTCAAAACAAATTTCCCAGTACCCTCATCTAATTTAATATAAAGTCGAGCCTCACAACCAGTCCTAGTTTCAGCTCTAGGGTTTTTTGACAATGTGTCAGGCCCCAAAATTTGGACAATTAAATATTAAATTAGGACTAAACCCCAATCAATATTCCATCATCCAAATCCTAGGGGTGAAACAAAAATCTAAACCTTCTAATCTCAATAGGGTAATTAACAAAACACTAATCATACCATGCACCATAATTTCATAAACTATCTAATATACCCAGCGTTACAGTAACATTAAATACTTCAAAACAACTTAAATAATGTAAGGTTACAACCCAAGCCAAATTATCCAAAATACTAAGGTCATTAAAAAAAATAATAATTACATAAACTATTACAACCTCAAACTCAAGAAAACAAAAGAAATCTAAGAGATATGCCCAACAACTATAGTTACTTCTCGTCACCACCGTAGCCTTAACTAATCCTGCAAAGGAAGCTCAGCTGCGCTCAACAGAACGCACCCGAGTTGTCAAGAGACAAAACGGGTCAGTATACAGGTATACTGGTATGAGTACAAGAATTGATACCCACGTGTCCACCAGACACAAACAAAAATACATTAAATTCTTATTACAGGACAAGACAAGTAGTTCCAACCACACCGAGACGAATGGGTAGTTTCTCGAGACACGGTGGCATTTAGTTTCTTGTCGGTACACAACGAAATATAAATGTATTATAAAATAAACAAAATAGAAATAGAATTATGGTGGGTCAGCTCTGCATAAAAAGTTAGTAAGACCCACCATCCTGCAAAACAAATAAAGTTAGTATAATTTAATCATAAGTAACTTGTTGAAACAAATATAAAATTACACCGTTTCATACTTAAATAATTCGAATTGATCAAAACTCAAAGAACGAAAGTTGTACAGAATCAAATTTCCTATAAGACAACGCGAACGAATTTAACAGAAACTGAACAGGTTAAGAGAAAAACTTGATATAAAAATCTAGACGGAATTCAATCGAAAAATATGAAGCTGAAAACGAACCAAAACTGCCATAAGATGATTTTTTCCGAAAAAGTTCAAAACATGAAAAGTGTGC